AAAAAAAACAAAAAACTAAGGCAAAACTGGATCCGGATTAGAAATTTCATTTGACAAAATAAAACAAAAAAAAACAAAAAACTAAGGCAAAACTGGATCCGAATTAAAATTTTCATTTGACAAAATGAAAAAAAAAAGAAACAAAACAAAAAGCTATTGGAGAAATAAAATGATTTTTAAATCATTTTATTATTTCATAATCATAAACAAAACTGAATCCGGATTAAAAATTCATTTTTTCTCTAAAGACAAGATCTTTAAAAAAAAAAGGAAGAAAAAAAAAATGAAACTAATGGAAGATTAAAATGAAAACCTGGAAATGGACAAATAGCACAAACAATTAATTCAATAGCTAATTTAATAGCTCGTTCTGTTGTAAGTGCTACTCTCCAATCATCTGCGCCACTATCTATTAATGCCATTTTAACCTAAAATTTATCCAATAAAAGTTAAATTTTATTATTCATTTCATCATATTTAATTAAATTAAATTGTAATTAAATTATTCAAAAAATTCTTTAATAAATTATTATAATTTATCATTTATCATCATTATGTTGAAAAATTACAACAAATATACTTTTATCATATGAAAATTTGAAATTAAAATTATTCAAATACTTATTATTACAATTAAATTTATCATTTAATTTTAAAAATATATGCAACAATTTCTTTAATTCTTTAGTTTTTTTTTATAATAGTTTTTTAAATTCATAAAAAATCAATTAGTTAAAATTTCATAAAATTAACAAAAATACATACTTCAATAGAATGATAATGAATTAAACTAGCCATCAATGCAATTGTACATAATACACATAATGATCGAAGTAATAATGAAATTGGATGTGTCTGAAATGAAAAAAAAAAAATTACCTAATTATCATAATTAAAAAAATTAGGAATTAAATTTGTTCCAGATAAAAAAAAAAATGAAAAATTTTTTATGCATTTAATCGATAAGAATTTTTATTTTATTTTATTCTATTTTATTTTTTGCTATTTTTTTTTTTTTAAATATTATGCTTTTCTAATGAATTACAATTAATATAATTTTTGATTAATTCATTATTAATAAGTAAATTAATCGATAATAACATTAATTAATTAATTTTAGATAGGATATACAAATGTATATTCATGCAATATTTTACCTTACTAAAATCATTATCACCAGTTGTAGCGGTAATTTCGGAATCGATAATGATAAAAATAAGGCCAGCTAAGCCAAATGCTAATGATATTTCGCAAATTTTATTCCGTTTAATAAAAAGTTGTTTCCGTAATCGACAACGCATTTTAGCTGTGCTATCACTGAAAAAAAAAAAGAAAAAGAAAAGAAAAGACGATTCAAATAATTAACTTTAAATGCATTTTTTCTAAAAAAAAAAATAGTGAGAATTGAATAAAATTACTGAAAAAAAAAAATTGAAAAATTTTGTTTAAATTTATACAAAAAGGAACAAAAACAATCATGAGAGTGAGAGAGAAAAAGAAAAAACGAAAAAAAAGGGAATAAATGTATAAATTAAACAAAATAGTGATAATTGTAATGAAATTAAAAAAGTAAATGAATGATTGAAAAAGAAAGAAAGAAAAAAAGGAAAAAGAAAATATACGATAAAGAAATTAGGTTAAAGTAAAGGGAAAAATGGGAAGTAATTAAAATGGATACGGTAAATTGAAAACATTTTTTTTT